GTGTGTGTGTGTGTGTGTGTGTGTGTGTGTGTGTGTGTGTGTGTGTGTGTGTGTGTGTGTGTGTCTGTGTCTGTGTGTGTGTGTGTGTGTGTGTGTGTGTGTGTGTGTGTGTGTGTGTGTGTGTGTGTGTAGGAGACCATGGAACTAGTGTACAATAAATCCAAACCGGTGGCGGTGACAGGCATGGCCTTTCCCACAGGAGACGTTAACAACTATGTGGTGGGGAGTGAGGAGGGCACTGTCTACACTGCATCCAGACATGGCAGGTAAGTGTACACATACACACACACACACACACACACACACACACACACACACACACACACACGCACACACACACACTGTTATACACATATTCATAAATGGTCACAGGATATAACACGGTCACGGTGATCATAGTGTCGAGAGGTGCTTTAAGTCTTTGTTTAATTTTTCTGCTTACATAATCTAGAGAATATATATATAATAATATAAAATAACTAAATGTACATTTAGGAGGCATGTTGAGTTTTTTGAAGGTTTTTTCTGATTAAGTTTATTAATGTTTATTTTTGCTTTGTGGCCTTGGAAATTATTGAAACATTAAAATTAATTTGGAATAAGATTAAATAGTTTCACTTGTTTTAAGAAAAATTAATTCAAAAAGTTAATGATTTTAACTCAGTCAAAGCTCTGTTATGTGCTGTGAATTTGTTTTTAGCATGAGTACCCCCAATGAGACACAAACCACCTTACCCCTTTATATTTACCCTGTGAGACAACTGCAGTGCTTAGAAAGTTATGATTTTATACTCGTGTTGTCCATCTCCAGTAAGGCAGGTATCTGTGAGATGTTCGAGGGCCACCAGGGGCCAGTGACGGGCATCAGCTGTCACAGCGCAGTGGGCACCGTGGACTTTTCCCACCTCTTCATCACATCCTCCTTTGACTGGACTGTCAAACTCTGGAGCACCAAGGTATAATGTGTGTGTACTTTTGTGTGTGTGTCTGTGTGTGTGTGTGTGAGAGAGCGAGAGAGCAAGAGGGGATGCGTGGGGGGTTGATTGTGGACTGGCAGAGCAGAAATATAAATATATGTGTGTGCGTATGTGTGTGAGAGAGAGAGAGAGAGAGAGTGAGGGGGGTAAAGCTGAGAACTGCAGGTGAGCAACTTTTTGAAAATCAGTCTCTTACTACTTGTGTGTCTGTGTGTGTGTGTGTGTGTGGGGGGGGGGGGTAATGTGGGTGAGTTGTGTGACCGGGTATATGGATAATGTGTGGGTGTGCAGTGAAATGATTCAATAGCAAAGTAAGCGTTTGTGTCAATGACAAAACTGTTGTGATATTGAAACTTTGACATATTGAACTTTTTGTTGCACAAATTATTTTGGAACACTGGTTAATTTAACCTGAGTTTAGCCTGCCAGGCAGTTTCCTCTCAGGCTGTGCCTCGCCACCAGTAAGATGTACTAATGAAATGGTGTAGTTTTATAGATGGTAAAAACAGGTTTACTGCCAATAGTATAGAAGTAGTCTGGACATCAGAGGAAGATTTACCTGGTGACGCATAACTCAGGGCAAAAGTATCCAACGTAGCTGATTTTGCCTTCACAGGAAAAGTAGAAAATTTGTCACCATCACTCCAGGACAAAGAATGATTATGACATGAACAGGATTTTATTTTAAACAAGACTAAATCAAAACCTAATATATGGCTGGACTGTGTAGTATTTGCATTCTACCTTGCTGGTTTCAGCCCTTTATCTGTTTGCTTCTCTCCTACTCTCTGTGCTCACATGTACAATATTTTAATATGGACGAATTCCCAGTAAAGCTGTTCTCATGTACATGTTTTTCTGTTTCTGTTGGAATTGGAATTGGAACAAGTATGAAATAGTGACTCAAGCGTGCCCATTAAGACTACATGTTAACCAGCAGTCATTTCCAAGCTGCTAAATTGCTGATTTTATAACTGCAATGACATAATTACCAAACACATAAGTTAAAGATAATGGCTGTGCTGTGATTTTGGCTATGTTTACTTGTAAAATCATCACTCAGAGAGAAAGTTAGATGTGTGCGTGCAGAGGAAAAACTTGACCTTGTGCTCGTGGGGCAAAACTGGCAACTCTCTTCTACAGAGAGTAGTGAGGGTTTGTCCCAAAAAGTCGCTGGAGTTGGTGCTAGTTACTCTTTTTGAAAAAAAGTTTGAAAAGTCAGTTAATCTAGCAACAAGGACGCTAAATTGTCAACACTACTTATTTGCACTTACGTATTTTGAAAGACCAATGACCAATGATAGGCCAGAGTGACCTAGCCAATAATTAGTTTGTCTTTTGGTAATAAATTGAACTGTAGCCACATTAATTACATTTACCAATACCAATTTGGTATTGTTCAAAAATTGTGTGTGTCCCGTATGCGAGCGTCACTCGTCCCCCATCCCTGCAAAACCCAAATACATTTATGGGACCAGTGCTGGCTGCCGCCTGCAGGGGCACTCAGTGGATCTAATTCAGACACACTCTGAAGGTGGGCACTCCTCCTCTCGCTGGTTTTGAGTGACCTCGTCCACTCAGGGCATTTGTTCTCCTTTCAAACCGATGTGATGAATTCCATTTGGCAGCATTTTAGTGGCAGTAAAAAGGAAACAGTCACTGTTTCTGTCAGAGAGAGGGTTGGAGAATAGAAAAGTTAGCTAACTCATTCAAAGGACACCTTTGTCAGCGGTGGTGGTCGTGAGACACAAAGGAGAACGCTTTGGTACATCTGAGATACTGCACAGAAGAGTTGAAGATATTCTGTGATTGTAATAGGATGGTATAGATAGATAGATAGATAGATAGATAGATAGATAGATAGATTGATAGATTGATAGATTGATAGATTGATAGATAGATACTTTATTTATGGTACGACCTATAAGCTGAGACATTGCATTGTTAACTTCAGGTAATTGAACAGAGTAGAAAATACGATTGTGTAAATAAAATAGAGAATTAGAGATTGAAGAAGGTAGGAAGGAAGGATGGAAAGAAACCAGCAGGAGAGGACAACGGATAGAAGAGTCAGCAGGAGTGTGAGTGAGTGGAAAACGGCCGTGGGGCATTTTAAAGACAAATAAAATTTCATGGTTATAGTGGAAAGTGATACTAACGTTGAAGGACAGAGAGATCAACATGAGCAGGGCGTCAAACAGCAAAAACAACCAGAAATCAAAGAGAGAACTATTCAATGTAAGGAAAATACATAATGCATATTGCATAATACCTTTCGCTTTATGCAAGATCCAGTTACAGTTTTCATACTTGGCTATGACAGGCAGTAAAGATGAATTTTAGCTCATGTTTGCATGCAGCCAGTCCATAAGTCACGTGCAAAGGGTCCCATGACACATATTAAAACATTTCTGTGGATTTTCATCAGGAGAGCGGGTTATTTTTCAGGATTTGGGAATTCCCTTTCCTTTGAGGGGCACCGCAGGAATGTGCGTCTGTCTCTTATCCCACATAAGCCATGTTTGTATGTGGGCAGGCAAAATACCTGTGTGTGTATGTGTGTGTGTGTGTGTGTGTGTGTATGCATGTGTGCGTGTGTGTGTAAACATAGACACCACACATGCCTCTCGTACACCTTGAGCAAGCTGCCGTTGCTTACCTAAAATCCCCTTGAGGTTTGCCTTCAACCCACCAATCACAGCCATCACAAACTTTTGTAACACACACACACACGCACACACACACACATTTGGGATTCTCTTTGCATTCACACGCACGTTTGCCCTCGCAGTTCAAAAAGGCCGCCGTACAGGAGTCTGCTGATGTTTTTACACTCAGCGGTGCAAATATTGTGGTTAGTGAAAACACTTCGAGTCAGCCAGAGTGTGAAGACGTCACGACAGCTGGGAGTGGGTTTATAATTGTGCATAGCTTGAACCGTCTTGCTCTCTTGACCCCAAAACCAGCGTCTATTAAGTGATTGGATGAAGCATAATCATTCCACTTTTGCTCTCTTAAGAAGTTAATTAAAGGCCTGCATCACTGTCAGCTCAGGTGATTGTTAATGAGTGTTGATAATATTTCAGATAAGTGTCTGTAGATGTATTTGGAAAGGAGAAAATGAGATTCTGTCAAGGGTTTAGTCCTGGTGTGCTCTTACATCTCCGCTTATGAAACGTTTCATAACAGTTCCTAATTTGAAGACAACTTCTCAGTCCCCACAGTGTGTGGTTGTTAAATCTGGTGTGAAGCTAAGCTAGCACACATCCTGTGGCAGATGCACCAGGATGTATCCAGTGAGATTGTACGACTCTGGCTGCTGCAGAGACGAGATGGATTGGTCCTTCTGGAGGGCGGAGTGATGAGAGGTTTATGTAACACTCACAACCTTTGTAACAGTTTGAATTTTGACACAGCAAACACAAACGTGTTAAAGGTCCAGTACTGTGTAAGGTGAGATTTCCATGTCTTTTTTATTATTATAAAGCAGGTGTAAGTTTTATTTTATACTGTGAAAATATCAAAGCACTCAGTCCATGGAGGAATGCACAGAGCCTGAATTCAGAAACTGTGTCTTAAAACAAGCCGTCAGGACTTCCATAACTTTGTGATGTCACCAAAGCAGTCACTGCCCTCACTCTGGCCTATCTGGACTCACCATCCAGCCTTGCAGGATTCTGCTGCTTTTACCTGATATCTGCTATATTTGTATTTAGTCACTCAGGAGACAGCCAGCCAATCAGAAGAGAGGCTCAGACCCTCTTGTATGATTGGCTCACCGACCTATTGTTACTAAAGCTCCAGAGAGAAGCCTGAGAGAGAAGATGTAAAACTACATTGCAATGGTTTTTGGTACCTAAATATATCTTCTTATGGATATCAAAACTTCAAATAAAACACTGGAAAAGTGTAAAATATGGGACTCATAACAATTGTAGTACTGGATAGTAATTTATAGTTTGTATTATTTCAGTGGGAATTTACTAGTGTGACTGTGAAGAAAACAATTTTTTATCATCAATATCTTCTCCGAATTAAATGCTTAACTAACCTTACATCCACCCATTCATCCATTTTCTTAGCTGGTTAACTTGTTCAGAGACATGGAAGGGTAACCAAACAATAAATTGCCATTGCACTTTGACGTTAACTATCAGTATCCAGTGTATCAATAATGGTTTTCCAGTTCAAACGTGCTAGAAACATCCCATCTCCTGAGCACAGGTAAGATAATGACAAGCAGTTACTTCATGTGCGGCGCCACAAGGATTAAGCTTAATTTTAAGATTAGTTTTAAGACTTGTTGCTGCAGATTATTTACCCAAATCACCTTATTTAAGATGGGTAGATTATGGCCAGACAACAGTAAAATAGTAGTTTATATTTTGAGTAGTCGGAAGATAGAAAGAGGACTCATCTCATCTTAACTCTTACGTTATGTGTTACTTTGGTTTTGGCTTTACATAAAACCAGTGGATATGAAATATTGTAGAGATAGAAGATGAGTAAAAGAGTTAAGTCAAGCAGTAATGGGGACACAGACTAAAACAAGGAGAGAGCATAAACAGGGGCCGCCCAGCTGATCGAATGCTGAAACAGTGAGGTGGAGAAAAATGACCTCTGCTGTCACCTGTTCGGCTGGAAAACAGGTTCAATCGAGGCTTGAAATTGGCTTGGCCCTGTTTGGTTTGTGTGTGTGTGTGTGCATGTGTGTGTGTGTGTACCGCTGTGTGTCTGCAGGTCTCACAGCCTTTCAGAGCAACTATGGTGCGAGAGAGTAAAGGTGATGGAGGAAAAAAAAGAGAGAGAAGGCATGAGGAGGAGAGAGAAAAAGAGACTACATTCCTTCATTTGCTCTTCCAGCCAACCTGTCTCCTGTCTTCCACCCCTCCCACTCTACCTGTCAGGAATGCAGTTTGTAAGCCTCTGGAATCCTAACAGCCAGTCTGAGAGATGGGGATACACACACACACACACACACACACACACACACACACAGACCCTAATATCTGTGTTGAGCTTTTTGTCCATTATAGTTTCTTTTGGGCAGTTGGGGCCACCGTATTGCTACAATACAATACAATGTGTACACAATTTTAATACACTTCTAAAGACTTTCACTGACTACATTTGATCTCAAACCTCTGACTGTAACCTAATTTGACAAAAAAAATAATCAGTGAACTATTTTAACCTACTTTGAGTAATTTTTTTGCATCTTGTTCTACTCTGCTTATAAATATTTTTTACACTAAAATACTGATATTGGTATAGGTCTAAAACATTCAGTGTTGGTTGGACTACACACACTCTCTCTCTCTCTCCCTCTCTCTCTCTCAGACAGCTGTTGTGTTGAGGTTACAGTACACCTTGTGGAGGGGCCCTCCCTTTCATCTCTCCCAGCGGTTTTATGGCGCTGTGTGAATGTGCTAGGCTTTTTAATTAGGCTCTGCACCCAGACAGGCCCCAAGGCTGAAGCAGCGCCACTCTGTCTGAAACTCACTCACTCCCTCTCTCCATTCCTTCTCTCTCTCTCTCTTCTCTCTTCTTTCTAGTGTGTCATCTGCTGTAATCCCTAACTCTCTCTCTCTTTTTCTCTCCAATGTTTTTTTCACACCATCTCAGTCATACACACTCACACAGATATCCTCTCTTCCTCCTTTTCAGCACAACAAGCCTCTGTACTCGTTTGAGGACAACGCAGACTATGTGTATGATGTCATGTGGTCACCTGTGAACCCTGCGATCTTTGCTGCTGTAGATGGCATGGGCCGCTTAGACCTGTGGAACCTCAACAACGACACTGAGGTGTGTATGTGTGTGTGTGTGTGTGTACTGGTGGGTGAATATAGGTCATTGTGGGCGTGTTTTCTGTGTCATCTCTTTGTGTGTTGATGTGCGTGTGTGTTTGGTGTCCTCGGGGCCTGTCACTGGGCCTCAGCCCGAACCGCACAACCAAACACCCAGGCCTTTCCCTCCCATCAACCCCACACCCCACCACCAACCCCTCCACATCCCTTCCCACACACACACACACACACACACACACACACATGGTACAAGATTCCCCTGTGGGCGTTTCCCACAGCCCTCGCTTTAAATCAGACCGGGTGACATCTCCTCATCCCGGCTCCCACCCAGCCATCCCGCTAACATTCCTGCAGCCTCTGTCCAACGTTAACCCACCACCCTGTCCCATCTCCCTCCCACAATCTGTTCCATCAGTGAAGTACACAGATGTGCAGGAGACCACGATCCCCAGCCCTCAGTCCGCAGTCCCATGCTGGAGATGAAAATAATAAAAAGAGAAAGTTCAGGCCAGGGGACGAGATTCTCATTTATTTTAAGATGAGTGCATTTAAGGCCAGTAAATAATATCTCATCTTATTTTAAAGTTGAAATGTATAGGATATCAAATAGTTAATAAAACATAATAAATATATAATTTAAAATAATAACTCAGACACTCAGATATTGACAATCTGAACTGAATTATTCATGGTCATTTTATGAAACACAGATTCATGCCAGTTCATTGTCAAACGTGTTTAGTCTTTGAATTATTTTCCACAATTTCTTTGCAGTTTGTTATTGGTTTGAAGGAATAGTTCCACATTTTGGGAAACACACTTATTTGCTTTCTTGGCTAGAGTTAGATGAGAAGATCAATATCACATTAATACACAAATATTACAAGAATTGACCAATATCATAATTTTACATTGAATTTTTGGTAAATTCTTAGGTGTCTGATTGAAATCAGGAAACATTTCCAGTTTTAGACTGTGTTTTATTTAATTTTTATTTTTGAATGAAACCAACAAGAACAATAATGAGTTGATAAGTAAGCATTGGGCAGAAGCAGGCTACCTGTGTCTTTATGCTAAGCTAAGCTACGCAGCTTCATATTTACCGTACAGACATGAGTGTGATATCAATCTTCTCATCTAACTCTCGGCAAGAAAGCAGATAATCATTTTTCCCAAAATGTCTGAGCTATTCCTCCTTACTGAAGCGGGTCATCCACTAATCAGTAAATGTGACAGAAAAAATTGCTGTATGAATATGTCAATGAATGGGTGAATGTGGCTTGTAGTGAAAAGAGGTTTGAGTGGTCAATAAGAATGGAAAAGCCCTATATAAGTGCAGTCCATTTACCATTCCTTTAAGTTGCATTATGGTGACAATATAACTTCAGCTGTGAGTCTAAAAACCATACTTTTGATACAACTCTCATAGCGGAGTAGGCACCAAACCTTTGATCACTCAGGTAAAAGTAGGGATAAAAGGATCCTCCATTCTCCTTCGCTCTTGGTTTCCATGGAGACAACACCCACAGTGCCTTCAACCTTAATACGAGTCTGCATCTCTACAGACGTTCTCCTCCCTCTCTCATAATGCTCTTTTGCTCCGTATTCGTCTCATTTTCTTGCAGCCCCTTCGCACTGTACACATACATAAAATTCATATCTCATCACCCGGGATTTCGTGGGTGAAATCATTTCCATTGTCTCATCTAATCGCTCTTTTCTTCTTGTTTTAACCCCACTCTCAATCGCTGATCCCATCACTGGTGTTGTGTCTTCCCTCTGCAGCACAGATGACAAGTTTCCCATGGTTCCCTCAACAGCGGCCTTTTCACTGACAGAGGAAGAGTTCATTATCGATGGCCTAACTCGGCTAACAATGTGCTTCATGAGAAACATTTGCTCAGACGCACACATACAACCGGATGTACCAAACACATGCACACACATTCACTCACACACAGTCGGCCTAATAGCAACAGACTTCCCATTGTTGCCGTCATATTAAAAACACACAGTCATAACGACATTAACGGAGCAGTGCAAGCACGCCTGGTTCTCATTTCCACCACACACACACACACACACACACACACACACACACACACACACACACACACACACACACGCACACACACACACACACACATACAGCCAATACAGATACAGTACAGATCCACTCGAGCGGAGCGGTGGAAGCTAGCAGACTAATGACAGTCAGTCTGTGGTTAGCGCTGCTTTAAATACGCAGGAGCTCGGTGTGTGAGGCGACATGATGCCAAGGGCTCTGTCTCCACCGGTGACATGTGTCAGACTCGCCTGCCACATGTCAGGAACAGTTTATGGAAACACTACAGATGGTTTTTGGTTTTTAAAGGTGCAACATGAGCACTGCTGTTTACTAAAACGAGCATCAGCTCACCCACAACACCAAACATGAAGGCAGTTATTATACAGTAAATATCCTTGTGTCCACATTTGAATGAGAAGTTGACAGCTATGTTTGTTTAACTTCTGGCATATTTGGATAAAGTTGCCCTTTTTATGTTGTTAATTTGTTCTGTAAATAAGTCTATAATGCCACAATGCTCCCATTTTCCAATTAACATTAAGAAGATTAGTGAAAACAGTAAGAAGGTCATTAAATAAAAAGAAATTGGGGCTCAAGAAACATGCTATAAGGATAAATCTGTATTTCAGTGCATTTTGTTTAGAAATGGAAGCTAGTTAGGAGTTGTGTTTAGATGGAACTGGCTTGCAACTTGCTTACAAATTCACTCATTCACTTTAAGCAAGCTATATTTATCATGATAAAATATGAAAGGTCAAACATATTAAAACAGCAGCTGTTAACAAGAAAGAAACAACTACAACTATAACAGTCATTGCCTGCAGGTGGCAGGCTGGAGGTGTTATTGGAGAATTTCATAAATGTTTATTTTCCTCCTCACATAGTATTTACACTTATTTTAAATGTGAAGTTACTCACTGTGCTGCAGGTCATGGAAGCAAAGAAAGGCTATAATAGTTCATCAACTGAATACATAAATATGAAATTTAACCACTACTGAATACTTAATGATGAAATTCAAATACCACTGAATTTATGGCATAGTAGTATTTCACTTTGAAATCTGTCTGACTTCATGTGGTTTGAAGTCCCTGTTTTGAAAGTTTGAGAAGATGCATTCAAGTTATACAGTTTCAAAAACTTTTTAAGGGTCCCCAAATCAGATAATTCAAGCATCTATAATTAAAAAAAATCAATTTCAGTTGCTCAAATTCATTTCTAAAAATAAAAATCAAATGAGGTCAGACAGTCAGGTTACTTAAAATAATTTACTTACATTGAAACAGCAGAATTCAAGATGAAAAAGTCAGACCTAACAGCTGACTACTGAGGATAATCAATTGAGACTGAAGGAATCAATCAGATCACTTTCCTGTCAGGTTATATCTATGTCAGTCACATCGTCCAAGAAAGAAAAAGGTCACTGGAAACATATGTTTTGGAGTTTGTGAACGTGCACACTAGTTATTTGAATTTGAACCAAGGGCATAGGTTTGGTCTCAACATTGGTAGGGATGCAACTACACCACCACCCCTCCAAAACGAAGAGATTGACTTTTTAATGCAATCAACCAAAGGGTTTATTAACATATAAGATTGCAATTTACATTCAAGATGCCCATATGCAAATGTAATATATGTACATGTGTTGAATTTCCACATATGAAATATATGTAGATATGATGGACTGGCGACCTGTCCAGGGTGTACCCCGCCTCTCGCCCGAAAAGATGCTGGGATAGGCTCCAGCCCCCCCGCGACCCTACTAGAGGATAAGCGGAAGAAAATGAATGAATGAATGAATGAATGAACCAAAATCATATATGTATTTAAAATAGCCTATAGTATGATAAGTCATGAAAAAGTCATAGTATAGTAAGGCATAGTATAGTATAGAAAGACATAAAAATATCATAGAATAGTAAGTCATAAAAAAGTCATATTTTAGTAAGTCATAAAAAGTCAAAGTTTAATAAGTCATAAAAAAGTCATAGTATAATAAGGCATAAAAATATAGTATAATATCATAGAAAAGTCATAGTATAGTAAGGCATTAAAAGTCATAGTATGGTAGAGCATAAAACGTCATAATATAACAAGGCATAAAAATGTCATAGTATAGTAAGGCATAAAAAGTCATAAAAACGTCATCGTATACTAAGGCATAAAATGTCATGATAACATCATAGTATAGTAAGGCATAAAAACATCAAAAAAAGTCATAGTATAGTAAGGCATAAAAACATAAAACAAAGTCATAGTATAGTAAGGCATATAAAAGCCATAGTAAGTAAGTAAGTAGGGCATTAAAAGTCATAAAAATGTCATAGTATATAGGAAGGCATAAAATCCTCAAAAAACGTCATAGTATAGTAAGGCATAAAAAGTCATAGTATAGTCAGGCATAAAAACATCAAAAAACGTCATAATATACTAAGGCATAAAAAGTCTTACTATAGTAAGGCATAAAATCATCAAAAAACGTAATAGTATAGTAAGGCATAAAAACATCACAGTATAGAAAGGCATAAAAAGTCATAAAAAGGTCATAGTATAGTAGGGCATTAAAAGTCATAAAAATGTCATAGTATATAGGAAGGCATAAAAACCTCATAGAACGTCATAATATAACAAGGCATTAAAACGTCATAGTAAAGTGAGGCATAAAATGTCATAAAAACGTCATAGTATAGTAACGCATAAAAAGTAATAAAAACGTCATAGTGAAGTAAGGCATAAAAACCTAAAAAAACTTCATGGTATAGTAAGGCATAAAAAGTCGTACTATAGTAAGGCATAAAAACATCAAAAAACATAATAGTATATAAGGCATAAAAAGTCATAAAAACGTCATAGTATAGTAAGGCATAAAGACATCAAAAAAAGTCATAGTATAGTAAGGCATAAAATGTCATAAAAACATCATAGTA